TGGGTCCCATGCTAATGATTAAAATTGTAGGTAATTAATTTGCCACATCACCAGTGCTTAGGATATCGCCACTGATATATATGCGTGTTTGTGTGTGCGCGTGTTATTAAAATCTACATCAACTTTGCTACCTCGATTCATCAATTTTTCTAGTGCAGCAAAGAAACACCACTCATCTTTCTCAATGCCATGGTCGAGCTTCATGCAAGAACTCCACCTTAATTTCTTGAACCCAAAATGATCCAGTACATGAATTTTGTGGCATTAAACACCAATCCGTGGTAGAAGAAATTATTAAGCCATAATGTCAAGACCAATGCGAATTTTACCTCTAGGATTTGTAGCCAGAACTTGATCTATCTCAAAATCAAGGCCTCAAAAGAGTCATCATACTTTCTCTTGTAAGTCAAAGCAATTCTTGCAATCGTAGTTTCCTGGACTTTTCCTTTTCTATATAAAAAAAAAAAAAAAGAGCCCAACCCTGAGGGTCACCACTGCTCCGCCCCTCTCTTAGAGCTTTGTGAGGAGGGTAAATCGCGGGATATGCCCCAACAGGCAAGGAAACAAAAGCTACATGTACACTATACCTACAAGGAGTCCAATTCCATGTCTCGGGAATCGAACCCCTACACCGCGACTATCAGCAAGGCGTGAGATAACCTCACTCCTGTCCTTTATACCACTGGGCTATGCCCCGGAGGGCGACTTTTCCTTTTCTATATGAGATGTACTGTGTGCATAGAGGAAGGGTTCTTCAGAACACACATAATAGGGGGTGAATGGATTTTTTTTACAATATTTTACTCACATGGACAGTCTCATATGAGTGGAAAGGAACCACTTCTTTGTACAAATGGAAAACCTCTTTGTATTCAGGCACTTGTATTTTTTGTAGGTATAGAGATCGCACGTAATGCTGGTTTTTAGTGTTGTAAACCACAGGCTTTGTGGCAATGGAGTTGGCCCCACGTCATTAACCTATGATTTGGGGTGGCATCACCTTCTCGAGAATGGCTCACATCCCTTCAGCACGACTCGATGTGATTTGTTGTCACTTATAAATGTGTAATTTGTGACTAAATCTACAATCATGACCTGCATTTTATGAGGGTATTTGATGGGGATTAAAATTTAATTTTTTAATAAATTGCGATGAAAGTTTTTAAAATATGTGATTGAAAAGTTGTGGGATCTATGATGTCCTCTAATTTGTGATTGTGATATTCTCTGATTTGCAATATTGTAAAAAGCGATGTCTAGGCAATTTTTGTGATTTGCAGTGTTATAAAAAATGACGCTCAAGCGCGAAGCTGAGCATGAGGCCCCGCCTCATGCTTTTTTTCTTTTTATTTATTTATTTTTTGGCGCTCTTTTACGCTTTAATTATTAAATAATTTTTAGATTAATTTAAAAATTTTAAATAATAATAAAATAAGAAAATATGTTTTTACGCCTAGTCCCATGCTTGGCTTCCATGTTTAGCTACGCTTTACGCTTTTTAAGAATACTAGTGATTTGGTTTAGTACGTAATTGCGATCATAGATTATATATTATCGTGACCTTAACCTAATTAATTGATACCACCTGATTTTTGAAAGGATTTTTGCAAGTTTCAAAGTCTATCTTTAAATGTGGGTAATTATGTATTTTTCCCTATTTTTTATGGAAAATTTGACTGGGCTTCTGACCCGACTCTATGATGGCCATGTTTGGCTGGACAGTTTCAAACAAGGCTCTTTCGATATACCTACGAAAAACGGACCAAGTTCATCCGTCCGTTCTAACGGGTGGTCTTTCGTCAGCCACGATCGCTAAAATCCCCAGCACCAGGAAACTGGTCATCACTCAAGTCATAGTGTCAGAGTCCTTTTCTTCTTCAAAATATGAAGTAGAGTTGAAGGTTTACAATCGTACAAGTGATATATCAAGTATTTGCAATAAATCCATGTACTGGAAGTTGTATTCCTTTTTTACCCATCTAGATTCTTGAGAAAGAAGATGAATTATTGCACATGGAATTCAAGAACAGGAAGAGTTGTGATATAGTGGTGGACCCATGGAGGTAATTTCAACAATTTCATCATCACCATCATATGTTTTTACATTGGAATATGGCCATTGCAAATGCTATCACTCTTCCAAGATTGTAGCCAAGAAGAGTAAGAAGCCCCAAACTCTTCATCGTAAGGTAGTTTCTTTTTTCCCTCTTCGTTAATCATAGTTGCAGGTTTATTTATTGGTAAAGCTTTGCTTATGAAGTCTTCTTTTGGAAGACATAGATAAGAAGAGATAATGTGGTGATTTTAGCTGCCTTCTTCTTAATTTTGAAGAAAGCTGCCGACAGTTTTTAAAACAGTGTATAAAAAGTGATGGGATTCTGTCATATTTCATGGGAATTGTAATGGGAAATTCTGTCCAAGGAAATGTACTTGAAGAGAGTTGGGGACATATCTTCACTTCTATAGAACTTTGAAGAGAAGGAACAAATATGAAACTTTGTCTACGAGTAGAATAGATTATCCGAGAACTAATGGAATCGAAAAAAGATTCAATTACTCGCTTGTAAATATTACAAGAAGCTAAAATTATCAATCTTTTAAGATTAAAGGGTTCAGTAGAGGATCCTATGCTTTGTTATGAATACAGATAGGTCAGCCATGGCACTTTCAACTTTATGTCACTTTGGAGCATATCCAATTGATCATACCCACTCCTGAGTCCTGCTTGCATTAAATATTTTATGCACGGTTTCACTTTAGAAGCTGGTCAATCGATGCCTAATAAATTGTTTTACTCTTCTTAGTAACAGACTAACAGCAATACATTTCACTGGGTAATGGTTGCCAAGTTTTCCTTGAAATAAATATTGTGATGCCTAGCGTACATTTTGCCAAATCACTTGCATTGACTTTGTATGAGTCTCATGAAAGAAAAAACCTTTTCTGTGCCAAGGGCTGTTATAATGAGAAAGAGTAATTTGCTATGGAATCCCAATGAATACTGCATGTTGCTCATTACTGGCAGATTGCTTATTTTAAAACAATCAACTTAAATCTAAAACCATTGAGGCTTTGTAACTGAATGCTTGCTTTTTGGTGTGCAAGTCCAAGGATGGCTGAGCCTGAGGTCACTTTTTTATTCCCTTTGTGTGAAGCACATTTATCTGTAATTACTGCATTGTTTCTCATAGGATTCCGAGCCGTCTGCTCCAAGAATTACATCAAATGTGAAGCAGAATTTGCAGTTCTTAAGACTATGGAAGGTCTGTACCTGGCTGAGACCTATAATGTGTTTATGATTGAAGATTCTTCTCTTTCTTGTTTCATTGACTGCCTTTCTTTGTTTTGAAACTTATAGGATTTTCAAAAACGAAAATCTAACACCCCAAGGCCTTCTACTAGTTATCGCAAAAAGAAGGTTGAGAAGGAAGAAATTCCTGAAGAAACGGAGCTCTATCGTGATCCGACTTTGACCCTTTACTAGTAATATTTTTTCCAGGTCTTGTTTCACATCAGTATGTTACTCTGGTTTGTCTAATTGGACACCGTCTAAAGAATGGGTGGGTTTTACTTCGTTATGTAACAGTACAAATCAGGGTATGGAGACTGCAATCCCTGTCTTGCTTGTTGATGGATATAATGTATGTGGGTATTGGGAAAAGTTGAAGAAGCATTTTATGAATGGAAGACTTGACATTGCTCGCCAAAAGCTTATTGATGAACTGTTAACCTTCAGTATGCTAAGAGGTTTGTGCTTTAGTTCTTCTTTATCAGGTGTTCTGTCAGTTCTTCTTTAACATGTTTGAACAAAGTAATAAAATTTAACTTGGACATTGCTTGCTGTGAATATGGATAGTATCAATCTGGCATTTAAATGATTTCATGCCTGAGCTGAACATATCCCTATTTCATCATACTCTGTAACTTTCGTGATTATTTTGCTCGTTTGTGGCGCATATTCATCAAACCTTTTGACTTTGTTGAAATTGTAATAAATGATTCCTATGATGTAGAAGTGAAGTTAGGACATAAATAATGGAGGCATGATTTGGATTTCCACCTTTCACATAACACTAAATCATTAATGATAGGGAGGCAGATGATCTTCAAGATTGCTCACATTACTTGATACATGTTACTCTTGATCTGGTATTTTCTTGTTAGTCAAACTTCAAGTGCCCTTTGATTATCCTTCAGAATCTTTCATTTGGAAATTCAAGTCCCTTTTAAGATATAAGCTTTATTTGGTCAATGGTTCATGAAGTATTTAATGCTAATGATCTGTAAAAAGAGCGGCTATCACACAAGGCTTTTTCTCCCTTTTTTTCATGTTTTAGCAGAGTAATGAAAAACATTACATCGTTATATGCATTGCACTTCTAGTTTGATATTCGTTATTATGTTTTTTTGTGCTTTGAGGTCTCTGGTCCTCTTTTCTGTGATGCTTCCTTTCTATCACTAAAATTCTTCTTGTATCGATAAAAAACAATTTTTCTATCCTTTATATTGAGAATATTAATTCAATGACTTATTTCCCTCATTTTCTGATAATTATCTACGTTGATGCTTAAGATTTACCTTCTCAATGTGGCTTATTGCCTTATATTTTATTGGAACTATTGTTAGATTTATACCATGTTTTATCTGTTTTTTCGCATCTAGAATACCCCTTGGTATATGTGTTTATCTTATGACTAGGTGCTGATCAAATAGCTGTTTACATAGTAAATACTATTATCACCCTGATACGCAGTCTCATTTCACTATTTTGAAACATCTACAGAGGTAAAAGTGGTGGTCGTATTTGATGCCATGATGTCTGGCCTGCCAACACACAAGGAAAATTTTTCTGGGTGAGATTCTGTAAGCATTGGTACCACCCCTTGTGTTCATTTAACGTTATTTGGCGCTGCAACTCTTGCTTCTATTTCTTTTTATGTTTCTGCAATATATATATTTTGGCAGTAGAAGCTGGTTTCAGCTGTCAATTTCTTCTTTGACTAATAAGACAACATTCACTTTTGGCTCTGCATGTCTCGATATTCTTATGTATTGATAAAGGACCATTGCTTTCTACAAAATCAATGAAATTGTAGTCATATTGATTATTCTTTTCAGTCTTGTACTCCTTGAATGCAGAACATCTGTACCTAGCTGTAACTTTGTATCATATTTTTACTCTGCCCTTATATATCTCCATTTTTGTCAAGGTCTAAATGCTCTCATCTTTTTACCACAGTTTTTGACCTACAATAACAGAAAAAAGGATTCTTTATTTTAACTCTCAACCTCTAAATTCTTCCTCCATCTTTATCTCTTTTTGGTAACCTGTCTTCAATAAATCATTTAAAAGTTTGTTAACATCTAGATTTATGATTTTGCAGTATTGACATTGTGTATTCAAGTGAAACCTGTGCTGATGCATGGATTGAGAAAGAGGTGAAAAAGATAATCAATTTTTTATTTTATTTTATTTTATTTTATTTATTTATTTATTTATTTTTTATTTTTTTTAAAGAAGTCCTGATACAAGATTTTCTTTCTTAGAATAAGCTATGTTGGATAATTAATTATCTGGGTTGCTTCTAGTATGATACATTCAACTCCA